TGAACCGCATCACAAATAGCTGGTCCCTGCTATGTTTTTTGTTTTCATTGCAGCAGTGTCACAATTCACCTCTCTCCTGTAAGACAAAGTTTGATGAATGTAAGGAGTTAAATGGTGTGTTTGCTTGCTGTCGCATGGGAACAGCTTGTTGACCCTGATCCTTTCTGTTTTGCTGTGATCAGGGCTCTGCTGTGGTATGGGAAGTATGAACAGTCGTTCCCAGAGCCACAGGCACACGCAGTGGGCTCACTTCCATGGCTTTCAGTGGCAAACCGGGCAGTGCAAAGAGGGGTTCAGCTGATACCTTTATGAGAAAGCCGGGTGCCCAAATATCTCTGTAGACCTGGATTTTTGTGTACGTCAGCCCCATCGTTTCCTGTTTTTTTTGTACATTGTACAGTCTGTGCCCTGTCAGATTGCAAGAAACATCTCTGTACCAGCATATGCGAGATTCTCCCTGAAGTTTATGTGTAATTTCACATGTAAATTAATGCACATTTGTATTTTGCTGAGCATCATGTGTGCACGTACCCACTCAGCACAGCTGCGCATATGCCCCTACCTTCTGAGCAGTACCCGAGCACTCTGCCCATGAGACAGCGAATGCTGGCACAGGCTGTTGGTGGCAATCCACAGCCCGACGGTACTTGCTGTAGAAGTTGGATGGGGTATGTTGATGTTGACAATCACAGTTCGCCCTCCCAAAAATCGCCTGCGGCTGTTGTTGGCTGTTATGTCCTCTTCCCCGCCTGCGTTGTCACATTGCCACAAGTCTGAAAACTTCTGAGTGGCGTCAGAGGGAGATGCTGGGGGGGGACGGGGACGCTGGCACTGAGAACCTGCCGGGGTATTGCAGCACCTGGGGTGGACCAGTCCTGCTCCCTGATGTGCAGAGGCACCTCCAGTGTCCGTACAGAGCCTGTCCCCACCGCTTCGCTGGAAGGAGTTAGCACCACCAGGTCCAGTTTGCTTACTTGGTCTTCTTTCCTTTCTCCAGGAGACGGTCGGAGAGCCCTTCTTCCTGTTGATCTGTGCGATCAAACAGCAGATTAACAAAGGTTCCATCGATGCCATTACGGGGAAAGCCAGGTACACGCTCAACGAGGAGTGGCTCCTGAGGGAGAACATCGAGGCAAAGCCGAGGGTGAGTACCTACGCCCTGGGGATCTGATGGGTGCGTACCCTGGCGAGATAGTTGTGCAAGAGGCTGATTTGGTACCTGTGCAGGTGAGATAACCATGTAAATTATACACCTGCGCAGGCACCTTGCCACTGCCTAAGCCCACAGCTACAGAACACTGCTTGTAATGACTGTTTTCATGTCCATCCCTTGGTGGGTCACCTAAGTAGCTCAGATTAGGGGTGGAGGAGGTGAGAAAATTTGTTCTGCCATATTCAAAGAGTTAAAGCAACAGGTTTACCATTCCTGGCAAAAGGGCATCTTCACTAGCAGTGGGAAGGTGCTGGCTGTAAACCTGATTCCTGGGGTGAGGGCTTTGCCCAGGCTGTTGCAGGAGCAGTGCTGAAAAGTGGTTCTGCATAATGCCTCCTGTGGGAACAGGGCAGACGAGGGCTGGGCATGTGAAGGGCTCAGTTCCCTCCCGTGCCTGACACAGAATTCAGCAGACGCCTTTCCCAAGCCTGAGTCAAATCCTGCTTTCAATTACCTGGTATAAATCTGGAGCAGCTTCGCTGAAGTCAGTAGGTTACCCCAGATGTGCATCACCGTAACTCAGAGCGGGTTCGAGCTCCACATCCCCTGCAGATTCCTGTTACCAATTGACCTGTAAATTTACAGTGCAGACCAAGAGGGGTTAGCAGCAAGGCGCAAAGTATTAGCTTTCTCGGCAGAAATGGTGACTTCATAAGTCTGAGCAGGGGAAATGTGGCTGCCTCCTACTTTGCAAGAAGAAAAAGGAAAGTATGAAGAGGGGATGATGGGGGAAGGAGAGCAACTGCAGGGTTAGTGCTGCCTCACTGGCAATCTGGTGCTTACACATTGCTGGTAACTGAACCTCTGCTTTAAAGAACACCTGCATAGTACATAATGTCGAGATAACATCTTTATTCAATGCTATGGAGAAAACTGGACTTCACCTGTGCATTCGCAATGTTCACAGTCAAGGATGCTGACTCTGTTTCCTGATACTGAAAAGCAGGATTTGCAAAGGAACCTCTGGGCTGTGAAAATCCCAGCCATAACTCTCGCGTGTACCAGGTGTCCTCCTAAGAGGCAGCTGTGCTTATGCACAAGCGACTCTCCTGATGTCTGCATCCTCCTGCCCTGGGCTTCCCAGTGAGGCAGTGAGACGGCTTCAGGGTTGCACTCACCACGAAATGAAGGCGCAGCATTGCCCTTGGGTTCGGGCACACCACGGAGCAGAGAACACAAGCTGAGGCTGCTCCAGAGCGAAGCCCCTGGGCGGGAGGGAGATGCCACCCTCATAGTGTTTGGGTCTGTACAGCTTGCGAGAGGAGGAGGCACCTGGACTCTACCCCTCCTTGCCCTCATAGTGTTTGGGTCTGTACAGCTTGTGAGAGGAGGAGGCAGCTGGACTCTACCCCTCCTTACTTGACAGGGGTGGCAGCTGTTCCCGAAAGAGGAGAGGATTTTTTATAGGAGGATAGTGGTTGTCGTTGCCCTGCAGCTTTCTGCTGCGACTGTATCAGTAGCTGTGCATCCCTGAGGTCCGAGCTGGTGTTTGTGGCAGCCTGCAGCCCCTTGCAGCTGCTTGTCCCGCTGTTCAGTACGCTCGGGAGCAGGTTACTGGGTGGTGCTGGTGGCGGACTCCAGTGTTGCGGCAGACCCAGCCTGCGGCGTGCTTAAAGCTTGTTTAAACAAAGGAGCTCGGCCCATTGCGTCAGGGAGAGGCTGAGCAATGAGCCTTGGCGGTCCCATTAGTCACCAGTTGGAGCCAAGAAGCTGAGGACATGACTGGTTATGGGGGCTGACCTTTCCTCCTGCCCCCAAGGTGGTCCCTGCGCGTCAGGGCTAAGGCCCATTAGCAAGGCAGAGTGAGAGGAGGTTGCGGTGTCGTTCCTTGTGTCCTCCTGGCTCCGTCAACAAACAGGGGCCTTCAGCCTCCGGGGGCTATAAATCAGCTCCTCTTGCTAGGAGTAAAGCCTGGATGACTACATTTGTTCAGCCTGATTTCCAGCAGCACAGGGCCCAGAGTGCACCAGTGAGAGCTGCGCGGGCGCCGCAGCCTCCGTGCGTCCTTGGGAGCCAGCAGAACGGGGCGGCTCACCCCTAACTCGGCCTCTGCCTGCAGAACCTCAACGTCTCCTTCCAAGGCTGCGGGATGGACTCCCTGAGCGTCAGAGCCATGGACACGGACACGCTCAGCCAAGTGAAGGAGAAGATTCTGGAGGCCTTCTGCAAGAATGTCCCCTACTCGCAGTGGCCAAGGGTGGAAGACGTCGACCTTGGTAAGGACCAGATGCATTGGAACAGCCAGTCCTTAAAGCCAGGTGGAGGACCTGATGTCGCATGGTGGCTCTGGGTGGCTGTCAGAGGGCTGTGGGTGAAGCAGCACTGACAAGAGGGCAGACATCAGGGCAGCCTTTTCCCGAGGACGGGCTTCAGGAGTGAGTGATGGGACGAGATACAGGTGGGCAGGAATAACTGGGCACATAACTGGGAAGAAACTTTCAGAAAGCCCAGACAGAGCAGGGGGATGCTTGGACTTGCAGTCTTTAAAGCCTATAGTCTTAACGCCAGAACAGGTACCCTCTAAAACAGCCCTGAGCCTGCACATGGCTTGTTAATACACATCTCTCCATAAGCAGCTATAACTGAGCGCATGGACTCCTGTCTGGCCGTAGATTCAGATCTGTCATATATCTACCCAGTGGCCAACTGCTTCTCCCAAAATTTGAGAAAGATCCAAGCTCAATGCTGGTAAGAGAAACCCATGCTGTCTGTGGTGCCTCCGTGCCACGCAGTGGGCCATGGAGATGCACCCGGGCTGGCAGCAGTCGCAAGGCGAATGTAGTCGGTGCCAGAGGGAGTCTCCATAGCAGAGCGCCCTGGGCTGGCGCAGTGACGGGGCCCCGCTCCTCTCAGCTGGTGCATACAGCGTGTGTCCCCCCCGCAGATACACGACCAGCCCTGCCCTGCGGGGAGCTGCCACCGACCTTCGGTGGCCACGTGCAGGCCACGCAGCATCTCGCCTGCCTGGTGCTCCACGAGGCAGGTCCCACACAGCCCCTGGGGCCAGGCGGGGAGAGGGGAAGATGTGCTCCTCCCACCTCTCCAAGCGGAGCCTTTTTCACCTCTCCCAGCTCCATCCAGGTCTGCTCTAGTCTGGAAATCCCCACGCCAGGGCTAACCCTGGAGGCTGTTGCTAAACACCTGCTCTGGTTTCACAGAGCCCCGGAGGCCTTGGCGGCAGGGCTGTGCAGCCCCCGAGCACTGTGTGGCCGGTCCCTGGAGCCCCAGGCCCCGCTGCGTGTGCTGCCTTTGGGCTGCTGTCTCATTTCTCCCTTCTCCGTGTTCAGAGTGGTTCGCCACCAGCACCGACAGCTACATCCTCCGGGACCTTGATGACACCTCGGTGGTGGAGGATGGCAGGAAGAAACTCAACACATTAGCACATTACAAGGTAAACCTGCCAGCACTGCGGGAAAGCTTTGCTTCCTCGGAGCCTGCCTGACCTCCGGGGCGAGCTGCGGTTCCCCCTCCAAAACCAGGATCATCAGGAACAAGCAGGGAGGTTGCCATAGCTCCGTGAGAGCTTCCGGGGAATAGACATCTGCCCTGGCGAGAAGCTCGTTAATATTGCAACACACTGAAACTAATTAAACACTCTTCATGCAAAACAAGTTATTACTGACAACAGAAAGAGGAGGGAAAAAAAAGCTCCTATTCCCAGCGGCCACCA